TTGGGACTTGAGCTGTCAGCTTATCTGCCAAACCTGGGATTCGTCAGTCTGCACAGCCTGTGAGTGGGAGCCCTGCTCTCCAACCTTCTGATCTTGGGCTTGCCAGCTTCTGCAGCAACAATAAGTTATTTTATTTATTTATTTGTTGTATTTTTGTTTACTGCTTCCTGTATTTTTGTTTTGTTTTGATATGCCCAAGTAGGCTGGGTGTGTGAGATACTTTGGGTGTAGACGTCTTTGAAGCTGTCATGTCCTGTCTCCAGGTGGTCAGAGCAGCTACTAGATGTGTGAGCCCGGGAGTCTGTTCACTTTTGTTGCAGGGGTGCGGCTATTCAAGTCACAGGTGTCCAGGTTGTTGGTCACCGAGTGTGTGATGTAGACTTTCACCTACAATCCTAGGCTTGCAGGGCTGCGTGGGGGTGTTCAGAGCAGGCACAGGTCTCTGGCTGTAGTGGGGGTGCTATGTGTGGGACAAGGCAGGGGGCTGTCAGCTGCCCCAGGGTGCCTGGGTGGAGGGCGTGTCCTTTTCCGCTAGAGAGCGTAGTGGGGGCGTGAGTAATGCAGCTGGTCCTTGGGCGCCTGGTGCTGTTGGCTGGAGGGACTAGGAGGCTCCATTAATTCTCAGACTCCTGTCCTGGGTGGCTAGATGGTGTGAGTGTTACTGCAGGCCCTCAGGCCCCAGGTGTGGGTGGGTGGGGCCCCTGTTTATTTGGCTGGGTGGTGTAGAATCTGGAGCTTTCCCTTGGCTGCTGCAGGTAGAAGTGGGCTTCAGGTGTATGCTCTGCTGTTTTATGCTACTGAGGGTGTGAGGTGTTGAATCCAAACTCAAGGGGCTGGGCTGCGTGAAGGGCACTGCAAGTCTGTGGGCCCCTTACACTGGTGGCTGGACAAAGGGGCAGGACCTCCTACTGGCCCTGAGTTCTAGGCTCAGGGGGTGTGGTGGTGTTTAATGCCCCAGACTGGAGCAGGGTAGAGGGTGGGTGAGGGGAAGAAGTGCTTCTTTATTGTGACGCTTGAGGACGGGGAGGGGGTTATTTTGTCTAAGTTAAGTTAGAAGCTTAACTTAACTTTCACAGGTCTGGTGTCACTCCTTCTTGGTTCTGGAGGTACGTGCAGATTCGCTGCTGCTTGGCAACACCCGATGTGGTGGTCCTTGGCTTTGTATGTTGCTGCTTGCCTCAGCCTGTGTGTGCTGCACAGACTCAGCTAGCAGGGCACTGGCGATTCTATGATCTGAACTTCCTCTTTTCCACAGCTTGTGAAATGTCTCTCCCTTTACCTGCCACTAGGTCTGATTCTTCAGCTTTGTTTTTGATGATTAGGGTTCCTAGATTGTCATATATATTCGATTCACTTGTTTTTTTGGGTCTTTGTTGTCTCAGGAAGACAGGAAGCGTCTGTTTATTCTGCCATCGTGGGCCCTGCCTCCTCTTGATGTACTCTTAAGGTATTGCAGTTAACCAGCCTTCATAAATGTCTAAGTAACTAAGTTAGCTTGCCTGAGTGTAAGAACAGAATGGGCTACTAATGTACTGAGAAGCATTTATTTAACGGAGTCTTGGCATTTGATATTTAGCTTTTATCTCAGAGTCAGACCAAATATCTGAATATTTGAAATGGAATTCCAGTGCCACCCACTTTTTGTCTCTTTTTCATTCTTTATGTGCTATGTAATATAAAGGCAGTGTGCAAATCTCATCAGTTTTCACAAGTGCCTACTGCTGTCTAATTCATGCCTCTTTCAAAAGATAGAACACACCAATCATCTCTGAAAGCTTCCTTGTGTCCCACCTTCCCTCACTCCATGCTCCCATTGAGTGCCATTGTTCTTAATTTTTTTTTTTTTGGTCATACATTAGCTTTGGTGGTTCGAGTGCTTCATATAAGGAAATCCACAAAGAAATTACAGTTCACATCGTAATGGAAATTTTCCTTTTCTTCCTTGTTTGCTAAGAGTTTTTGTCCTGGATGTGTATTAGATTTTGTGAAATGCCTTTTTCTGTGTCAGTTGAGATAATCATATAATTTTTCTCATTTATTCTGTTAATGTGGTGAATTATATTGATTTTTGAATATTGAAACAACCTTGCAGTCCTGGCATAAATTTTACTTGGTCATGATGTATTATCCACATTAAATATTGTTAGACTTGACCTGCTAATATTTTAAAGATTTTTGTTTCTGTGATTTATGAAAGATAATTTGCTGTAATTTTCTTTATCTGTAATGTCCTTGTTTGGTATCAGACCTCATAGAATGAGTTTTTTAATTTCCAAATATTTGTTGATTTTCTTAAGATGATGTTTTATTATTTCTAATTTAATTCTGTTGTGGAATTAAAATCTGTATGATTTAAATAAATCAAAATTTATTGTGACTTGTTTTATGGGTCAGCATATGGTCTGAATATTCAACATGCACTTGAAAATAATGTGTGTTTTGCAAGTGTTTAGTGTAGTGCTTGATAAATGACAATTATTTAAGCTGGGTGATAGTGTTGCTCAAACATTTTATGTCCTTACAGATTATCTGTCTACTTGTTTCTTTCAGTACTTTAAAATTGTTCCATTGTGTTTTGGCTTAATTTTTTTTTTTTTTAATTGAGAAATCAGCTATCATTATTACCATATTTCCCCTGCACACAATATGTCTTTTTTTTTCCTTCTAGAAGTTTTTAAGATTCCCCCCCCCCCTTTTTTTTTTAAGCAATTTAATTATTATGTGTTTTGTTTGTACGTACGCTGTTTGGGGCTGATCGAACTTTTTGGATCCATGGGTATATAGTTTTATTAAATTGGGAAAAATTTTGACCAGTATGTCTTCAGATATTTTTACTGCTCTCTCTCTTCTTTCTCTGGTTTCAAGTATGTTACAACACTTACATTGTACTACAGATCCTTGAGTCTCTATTTATTTGTTCTTTTTGCTGTAGTTTCTGTACTTCAAATTGGATAGTTTTTATTGCTGTATCTTAAAGTTTAGAGATTTTTTTTTCCTTCTGCTGTATCCAATCTGCAGTGAAACCTATCCATTGAAATTATCTTTTCAGACAATGTATTTTTTTAGTTCTAGAATTTTCATTTGGTTCTTTTTATGGTTTTCATGTATCTACAAAGATTCCCCAACTGTTTCCTCATTACGTTCATGTTTTCCTTCAAATCTCTGAACATGTTTATAATAAACCAAAAAACTAAACGCCTTGCCGTCAAGTCAATTCTGGCTCATAGAGACCCTATAGGACAGAGTAGAACTTCCTCATAGGGTTTCCAGGGAGCAGTTGGTTGATTTGAACTGCCAGCCTTGGTTAGCAGCCAAGGTCTTAATCACTGTGCCACCAGAGCTCTTTTATTTCTGAGTCTGTTTTTATTAACTGATGTGGATGGAATTTTCCTACTTTTCCATGTGTGTAGCAATTTTTAATTGTATTCTATGCATTGTGGATTCTATGTTATTGAGTTTCTGGATTTTGTTGTCTTCTTTTAAGAAGTGTTGAGTTTTTATTTTGGCATTCAGTTCATTTTCTTCTGGCTCAGCTTGATTTTAAGCTTTGTTATGCTATGTCTAGAATTGTGCTTAGTTTAGGATTATAATAACCCTTCTCTAAGATTTGGGTGGTAAGAAAGGTTAAGCACTCCACTACTAGCTGAAAGGTTGGTGGTTTGAATCCACCCAGAGGTGTCTTAGAAGACTGACCTGGCAATTTGCTTCTGAAAGGTCACAGCCTTGAAAACCCTATGGAACAGTTCTGTTCTGCATACATGGGGTCGTCATGAGTCAGAATCAACTTGACGGCAGCTAACAGCAACAAGATGGAGCCTTTTTGGGGTAGGAACTGAATGCCACAGGTGATCTAAAAGAACTCTCTAATCTGGTTGGTTGGAATTTGAATAACTCCTAGCACTGTATGACCTCCAAAATCTCCATTCAGGTCACAGCCTCCTGGTAGTTGTTCTTTGTTAGGCCTTTAGGAGTTTTGCTCTGTACACTTGCAGCTTAGTAGTCAGCCAAGGACTCGAGTCACTTATTGATGTTTCTGGAGCTTATTTTCTTCACAGATCCGTTTTCCTTGGCCACTCACCCTGTAAATTAACACAGCTGCTTTTTCAGCCCTGAACGCTAATCCTGTTTTCCTTATATCAGTGAGACTTGCCATGCTTTGTTTGGTTTCTCCCTCACTGTGCTGCAGCCCTGAAGGTGCACCTAGACAGAAGGCGAGGTTAATTGTTAAGACACCTCAGTTGTTTCCCTTTTCTCAGAGATCATAGTCCTGTTATGTCCGTTGTACAGTCTCTCAAAAGGAGTTGTTTCCATGTTTTGTCCACTTTGTAGATTGTTAATGGTGAGAGAACTAGTCTAATAATAACTTTGCCATGTCTGGAAGTGGAGGTCCAGTGCCACTTAATTTTTGAATCATGTGTGGAACTTGAGAACTACATAGTCTGTATTTTATAAAGAATGGAACAAAAAGGATAGCAAAAAAGTATAATTTATACCATTCTTATTAGAATTAACATTTATATAACGGCTTTAATTTATTTTTGTCATTGGTAAGAATAGTTCTACCTCAATTGTAGGATGTTGATTGATGAAATACTTAGTGATACCACTGAAGAATATATACTCACTCATTAATTTTCCTATCTGATGAAAGATGATAACAAAATAAGCAAAGCCTTTTAAGTTAGAGAAAACAATATTCTGCATTATCTTAGATTTGTAATAAATTTATATATTAAGTACATTATGTTGTAATTTGAATTTGGAAATATGTCCGAATCAGTGCTATAATAATTATATCATTTAGTTGACTATTTTTGTGACTTTCTTATTTTAAATTATAAAAATTAACTTTAATTTTCTCATAAAACTTTAAGCATTCCTTATTGAATACTGTGATTATAGAGCACATATTGAAATGGGAAAATATGTTGTATTTTTGGTTTCAGCAATTATTTTACCTAAATGAGAATCATCTGTAACTGTGTTCCCTATCATTTCAGAATGCTGAGGCTTGGAACAATTTATCAACTTCCTATATCAGATTAAAACAGAAGTAAGTAGATCACACAGATATGAAGAACTTTGTTCCAAATTAAATAAACTGAGATTCTCTCCAACTTAACACTGAAACATTATACCTTGCTCTTTATCTTTTTCCTTTGCTCACCCATATAATCGAGTTAGAATGCCTTAATATAGCCCTCTGAATTTTAAGTCTATATTTTTAAAGACATGTAATATGTAATAAAATAAGAAATATTACTTAAAATACTGAAGTTTTGTATCTAAATTCGATTAAATAATGAAAGCAAGCATGCTTTAGTTGGTTGACTCAATTGATAAATTCTTTTTGGTAGCTTGCTGTGCACTAGACAGTATTGAGAAATGTAAATAGTATGAACCAGTGTCTTCAGGGAGTGTAGGTTGAAAAAACAAAATATTATGCCATATTATTTAAATATTAATTAGCAGTATGTGGTAAGTATCAAACGAAAAATACAAAGAGGGCTATAATAATAGTAGGTGATATTTTTAGAGGACTTATAATGTGCAGTCATTTAGTCCTGTGAGAATATTAGAAGGGATAAGGTATATGATTCTGAGTCAGAAATGCTTCTGACAGAATGTTGGACTCAAGTTTAAATTTGAAGGATGGGTAGAGGGGACAAGGGAGAGTCTTTCAGGCAGTGGGAATAATGTGGTCAACTTCAGAGTGACAGGAATGAATGTAGTGTTTTAGGAGACAGGAAGTAAGATAGTCCAGTTATGGAGTACAGTGGATCTATCATGACAGCAGTATAGTGAGAGAAAGGTAGGTTGGGGCCAAATTGCAGAGTGTTCTGGTTATCTGACTAACAAGTTGAGACTATTCTGTTGGCAATAGGAAGCCAGAGATTTCAGTGGGGGTAACTTCATGAAGAAAGAAACTCTTTAGGAAATCGTATCTGGTGACAGTGTGAGACAGACTAGAAAGGAAACTGGAAGCTGGGAAAACAGTTAAGAGACAGCTGGTGTAACAAGCCAGGCATGAGATAACTAGAGTGGAAAAAGGGGGGGCAGATGCCAAACAGTTTGTAAGGGGACAATCAACAGGGCTTATTGACTAGCTATAGAAAGTGAAGGAAAAGAAAGAGACAAGGATTACTGTTGCTAGAGTTTTAATTAATTAAAAGATGTTCATATTTCCATTTTTATTTGGCCTTATTTTTAGACTTTATTTTTCTTTGTGGAATCACAAGATATTTCTGAAGGCATTGTTAAACCCGTGTTATGCTGAGATCATGAAATGCTTCCTCTGGTCTTGGAAGACAGGCTACATAAATACAGTACTGTTTGTTCTATCCTTCCCTTTAGTAAATAATAAATATGTTCTTGATTTCAGTGGATTGTGTTAAAACTCACTGGAGACCATTTTGGTTTAAAGCAAGGGGTGGGGGAGGTCCTTATCATAGTTGTAGAATGAGCTCAGTGAGTTTTTCTAGTAACCCTGATAATTCTGTACACAGTGGGGCTTTTGATATTATACCTTGTCTTCAGCTTATTAATCTTATGAACTCTGCTGTCTGTCTTAGGGGTTCTTGCACGTTATTCCTCAGCCTCTTTTAGTGCCTTCTTGTCTTCCTGTAGCTCCATGAATAGGTTTTTGTGTAAAAGTGATGTTATACGGTCAGAGGTAAATCACTCCTTTATTCTTGCCTTTTTACTCTTTCATTTCTTGGCTGCTGTTCTAGACATGGCTAATTTTTGACTCATATGAGATTATTACTCAGAAGTAAATTATTATTGCTCCTCTCAAAAGAATCTTACCCATGCCTTAAAATGGCCCATTAAACTGTCTCATTTATCCCTTTGCTATCACCAGGTTCTCCACCAAAGTTCCCTTTTCACTATTTCATCCAATTGCCCTACCAGTTCCCTTGGGAATATTTCCCATTTTTGGATATATATAACTTTCGGAGTGCAGTATCTCTACCATAGTGGGGTTGATTAATCTTAAAGATAAAGCTCCTTATAAAGAAGCTATATTTATCAAAAATGAGAAAAGAATTCAGTACTTCATAAATTTTGAGGCTAGGAAGTTATGATGATTGGATGGGAGAACATGTAGGAAAAAGGATATTCCTCTTGGTGTGGATTGCTTGCTGCTTGTTGAGTTCTTTTCCAATAGGATGATGTCACTCCCATTCCCTATGTGGGTGGGAGAACTAGGGAGTCTCAGTCCACCACTGTTGAAATCAGTTGCTGTTACATGGGAAGTGGTATGGGGGGAGTCGAATAGAGAAAGGAAAAAAATCCCATAGCAATACATGGCTGAATTTGAAGAAGTGTTAGAGCAAATGCAACTTCATTTTTAACCATAAAGGACAGGGGGTCAAAGGATAAATGAAATCAGTACATTCTATAACAACTTTAGGGGAACTGTTGTATATAGAGAATAAAAATTAAACTGTGAAGGTGGAGCCAACATGGCACTATAAACCGAAGTACCATGTGGTTCCTCTGCAGCAAAGACCTGAAAAACTAAGTAAAAAGATGCAAATGTTGGTCCTGGAACCCTAAGCATCAAATAAAGGGATAAAGAACTAGATCAAGGACTGAATGGAAGAAGAAACTGATGGAGAACAGAGAACGAGGAGAGCTATGGAGTGGAGGTCCCCTGCCAGCTAACACCACACAGCTTTGCCATCTTGGAGCACAACCAGCAATGACCTCAGACAAGGAGTATAGGGAGGCAACTTCATGAAGCCCCCAGTAGGAGACAGAGCACCCGGTAACCAGAGAAACACACTTTCCTGCCCCTCACCCTTCTGCCCTGTACACTGCCTCTGCTGCTTCCTAATGGGCCATGGCCACTCAACTGGAGAGACACCAGCATACAGCCAACCCGGGTCTGCCCTGCCCCCACCCACCAGCTCCTGCCACATTGCCGTTTTTTTTCTTTTCTCATTTCCCTTTCTTCCTTTTCTTTCTGCCTCCCACCTAGACCTGTGCACTGCCTCCACCCCTTCCTGATAGGCCATGCTGTGCCACTCGATTAGAGAGACACTGGCTTGCAACTGCCCCGGATCTGCCCCACCCCCACTAGATGGCTCCCTCAGTGCCATTTTTTTCTCTCTCCCTGTCTTCCTTTTCTTTCTCCCCCCCTAGCCCCATGTGCCACCTCCACCTCTTTCCGATGGGCTGTGTGACGCTGCCCAGTGAGAGAGAGACCAGCTTGCCACCACCACGGTTCTTCCCCACCCTCACCAGCCAGCTCCCTCAGTGCCATATTTTTTTTCCTCTTTTCCTTTCTTCGTTTTCTTTCTCCTTCCCACCTAGCCCTGTGTGCCACTTCCACCCATTCTTGACAGGCCATGTCATGCCCCTCAGCTAGAGAGCCACTGGCACACAGCTGCCTCAGGTCTACCCTGCCCACATGCTGCACTCCTGCCACACTGACATTTTTTTTCTTTCTTTTTCTTTGTGTACCTTTCTTCATTTTCTTTCTTCCTCCCACCTAGCTCTATATACCACCTTGACCCTGTCCTACTGGGCCACGCCTCGCTACCTCGGCTAGAGAGCCGCCAACCCATGGCCGCACCAGGTCTGCCCCACCAGCTCCTGCCACTCCACCAATTCTTTTTTGCTTTTGTTTCTATTCTTTCTTTTCTTTCACCTTCCCACCTAGCTCTGCACTTCACATCCCCTCCCTTCCAATTGACTCTCGCATCTGCCCTGCCACTACTCGCCAGCCCACGCTGCCAAACGAACATACAATCAATAAATAATATCTAATGTCTTGGAGACAGCAGACAATATCAAAACATATGAATAAGCCAGACAAGATGGCTCCAGAAAGTGACAAAGAATCAGATGACCTTCTGGTAGAAGAAGAGGCATGGAACTACCTGAAATGGAGTTCAAAAGACTAATATTTAGGGCTCTCCAAGAAATTAGGGAAGAGATCAAGGCAAACACAGGCAAAACCAAGGAAAAAATAGACAAAATAATGAAAAATACAGACAAAACCAACAAAAACATAGCCAAAATCAAGAAAAACACAGACAAAGCAATAAAAAAAAATCAGGCGAATAATGCAAGAACAAAACATCAAAATTAATAAGCGATTAGAAATCATACAAAAACAGCAGCTAGAAATCAAAACATAAACAAAATTTCAGAAACGGACAACTCAGTAGAAAGTTTTAGGAGCAAATTTGAAACAATGGAAGACAGAATCGGTAAGATTGAAGACAAATCTATGGATACCACTTTGAGGAAAAATCAAAGAAAAGAATGAATTAAAGTGAAGAAAACGTTAGATTTATGTGGGACACAATGAAAAGCAAAAATATGAGCATGATCGGAGTTCGATAACAGAAGGACAAAATGGAAAACACAGAGAAGATTGTTGCAGATTTCCTGGCAGAAAACATTCCAAATATCAGGAAAGATGAAAAACTGACTATCCAAGAAGCTCAGCGAACCCCATATAGGATAGATCCTAAAAAAAAAAGTCACCAAGACGCATCATATTCACACTTGCCAAAATGAAAGATAAAGAAAGAATCCTGAGAGAAGCTTGAGAAAAACGATATCACTTACAAAGGGGACACAATAAGACTAAGTTCTGATTACCTCACAGAAACTATGCAGGCAAGAAGGCAGTGGGATGACATATGTAAAATCTTTAAAGAAAAAACTGCCAACCAAGAATAATACATCCTGCAAAACTCTCTCTCAAATTCAATAATGAAATTAGAACATTTCCAGATAAACAGAAATTAAAAGAATTCACAAAAACCAAACCAAACTTGCAAGAAATATTAAAAGGGGTCCTTCAGTTAGAGAACCAACAACATCAGACAACAAATGGGGTCTAGGACACAGGAATCATCAGCCAGATACCAACCTAGATAAAGAACTCTCAATAATAAAACAAAGCAGAGACTTAAAACAGGAAAACAGATCTCAATGTGTAAATGACGACAACATCAGAACAAGAAAAGAGGAATAAATGGTATACATGTAGAACTTTCAAATGGAGACAAGTCAAGGTGATATCAGGTAATA